AAATGGAGGCTCTAGCCCCTTCCAGAGCTGAGATATCGAAACTCAAAAATTCGGCCCGAAAAAAAAAACGACAGTGGTACCCCTTACGTTTTTTTTTTTTGGGCGAAAAATTAAGTTTCTCCAATCTTCCCAAAACTCTGGATTCTGATAGAGGGCCATGAGACTTAGACCTGAGTGCAAAAATGGAGGCTCTAGCCCCTTCCAGAGCTGAGATATCGAAACTCAAAAATTCGGCCCGAAAAAAAAAACGACAGTGGTACCCCTTACGTTTTTTTTTTGGGCGAAAAATTAAGTTTCTCCAATCTTCCCAAAACTCTGGATTCTGATAGAGGGCCATGAGACTTAGACCTGAGTGCAAAAATGGAGGCTCTAGCCCCTTCCAGAGCTGAGATATCGAAACTCAAAAATTCGGCCCGAAAAAAAAACGACAGTGGTACCCCTTACGTTTTTTTTTTTGGGCGAAAAATTAAGTTTCTCCAATCTTCCCAAAACTCTGGATTCTGATAGAGGGCCATGAGACTTAGACCTGAGTGCAAAAATGGAGGCTCTAGCCCCTTCCAGAGCTGAGATATCGAAACTCAAAAATTCGGCCCGAAAAAAAAACGACAGTGGTACCCCTTACGTTTTTTTTTTGGGCGAAAAATTAAGTTTCTCCAATCTTCCCAAAACTCTGGATTCTGATAGAGGGCCATGAGACTTAGACCTGAGTGCAAAAATGGAGGCTCTAGCCCCTTCCAGAGCTGAGATATCGAAACTCAAAAATTCGGCCCGAAAAAAAAAACGACAGTGGTACCCCTTACGTTTTTTTTTTGGGCGAAAAATTAAGTTTCTCCAATCTTCCCAAAACTCTGGATTCTGATAGAGGGCCATGAGACTTAGACCTGAGTGCAAAAATGGAGGCTCTAGCCCCTTCCAGAGCTGAGATATCGAAACTCAAAAATTCGGCCCGAAAAAAAAACGACAGTGGTACCCCTTACGTTTTTTTTTTTGGGCGAAAAATTAAGTTTCTCCAATCTTCCCAAAACTCTGGATTCTGATAGAGGGCCATGAGACTTAGACCTGAGTGCAAAAATGGAGGCTCTAGCCCCTTCCAGAGCTGAGATATCGAAACTCAAAAATTCGGCCCGAAAAAAAAACGACAGTGGTACCCCTTACGTTTTTTTTTTTGGGCGAAAAATTAAGTTTCTCCAATCTTCCCAAAACTCTGGATTCTGATAGAGGGCCATGAGACTTAGACCTGAGTGCAAAAATGGAGGCTCTAGCCCCTTCCAGAGCTGAGATATCGAAACTCAAAAATTCGGCCCGAAAAAAAAACGACAGTGGTACCCCTTACGTTTTTTTTTTTTGGGCGAAAAATTAAGTTTCTCCAATCTTCCCAAAACTCTGGATTCTGATAGAGGGCCATGAGACTTAGACCTGAGTGCAAAAATGGAGGCTCTAGCCCCTTCCAGAGCTGAGATATCGAAACTCAAAAATTCGGCCCGAAAAAAAAACGACAGTGGTACCCCTTACGTTTTTTTTTTTGGGCGAAAAATTAAGTTTCTCCAATCTTCCCAAAACTCTGGATTCTGATAGAGGGCCATGAGACTTAGACCTGAGTGCAAAAATGGAGGCTCTAGCCCCTTCCAGAGCTGAGATATCGAAACTCAAAAATTCGGCCCGAAAAAAAAACGACAGTGGTACCCCTTACGTTTTTTTTTTGGGCGAAAAATTAAGTTTCTCCAATCTTCCCAAAACTCTGGATTCTGATAGAGGGCCATGAGACTTAGACCTGAGTGCAAAAATGGAGGCTCTAGCCCCTTCCAGAGCTGAGATATCGAAACTCAAAAATTCGGCCCGAAAAAAAAAACGACAGTGGTACCCCTTACGTTTTTTTTTTTTGGGCGAAAAATTAAGTTTCTCCAATCTTCCCAAAACTCTGGATTCTGATAGAGGGCCATGAGACTTAGACCTGAGTGCAAAAATGGAGGCTCTAGCCCCTTCCAGAGCTGAGATATCGAAACTCAAAAATTCGGCCCGAAAAAAAAAACGACAGTGGTACCCCTTACGTTTTTTTTTTTTGGGCGAAAAATTAAGTTTCTCCAATCTTCCCAAAACTCTGGATTCTGATAGAGGGCCATGAGACTTAGACCTGAGTGCAAAAATGGAGGCTCTAGCCCCTTCCAGAGCTGAGATATCGAAACTCAAAAATTCGGCCCGAAAAAAAAACGACAGTGGTACCCCTTACGTTTTTTTTTTTGGGCGAAAAATTAAGTTTCTCCAATCTTCCCAAAACTCTGGATTCTGATAGAGGGCCATGAGACTTAGACCTGAGTGCAAAAATGGAGGCTCTAGCCCCTTCCAGAGCTGAGATATCGAAACTCAAAAATTCGGCCCGAAAAAAAAAACGACAGTGGTACCCCTTACGTTTTTTTTTTTTGGGCGAAAAATTAAGTTTCTCCAATCTTCCCAAAACTCTGGATTCTGATAGAGGGCCATGAGACTTAGACCTGAGTGCAAAAATGGAGGCTCTAGCCCCTTCCAGAGCTGAGATATCGAAACTCAAAAATTCGGCCCGAAAAAAAAAACGACAGTGGTACCCCTTACGTTTTTTTTTTTGGGCGAAAAATTAAGTTTCTCCAATCTTCCCAAAACTCTGGATTCTGATAGAGGGCCATGAGACTTAGACCTGAGTGCAAAAATGGAGGCTCTAGCCCCTTCCAGAGCTGAGATATCGAAACTCAAAAATTCGGCCCGAAAAAAAAACGACAGTGGTACCCCTTACGTTTTTTTTTTGGGCGAAAAATTAAGTTTCTCCAATCTTCCCAAAACTCTGGATTCTGATAGAGGGCCATGAGACTTAGACCTGAGTGCAAAAATGGAGGCTCTAGCCCCTTCCAGAGCTGAGATATCGAAACTCAAAAATTCGGCCCGAAAAAAAAACGACAGTGGTACCCCTTACGTTTTTTTTTTTGGGCGAAAAATTAAGTTTCTCCAATCTTCCCAAAACTCTGGATTCTGATAGAGGGCCATGAGACTTAGACCTGAGTGCAAAAATGGAGGCTCTAGCCCCTTCCAGAGCTGAGATATCGAAACTCAAAAATTCGGCCCGAAAAAAAAACGACAGTGGTACCCCTTACGTTTTTTTTTTTTGGGCGAAAAATTAAGTTTCTCCAATCTTCCCAAAACTCTGGATTCTGATAGAGGGCCATGAGACTTAGACCTGAGTGCAAAAATGGAGGCTCTAGCCCCTTCCAGAGCTGAGATATCGAAACTCAAAAATTCGGCCCGAAAAAAAAAACGACAGTGGTACCCCTTACGTTTTTTTTTTTGGGCGAAAAATTAAGTTTCTCCAATCTTCCCCAAACTCTGGATTCTGATAGAGGGCCATGAGACTTAGACCTGAGTGCAAAAATGGAGGCTCTAGCCCCTTCCAGAGCTGAGATATCGAAACTCAAAAATTCTGATAGAGGGCCATGAGCAACGGTAAGAAACTCCTGTAACTTCAGTGCCCAACCCGTATCACGACAAGACGTGAAATAATCACGTTGGTCCACTTTGGAAAACGTGTAGATGTCACGGTTTAGTTTAAACTCAAAACCATAAATAGGGCTATACTGCCCTCTTGTGTCAAATTATATTTCTATATTTATTTTTCCAACAAATAAAACCAAACCTGCAATAAAAGCCCATCCAATAACCCCTTGAACTTAACATTCAGTGGCTCAGTTGATAAAGCGTTGGGCTTTAATCGAGAAGATCTGAGTTCAATTCCCATACTTGCTTGCGTTAAATTGTTGTGATTATATCAAACAAAGTGGCCAAAACAATATTTATTCAACCCGGTATCATGACAAGAAGTGAAATAATCACGTTGGTCCACTTTTGAAAACGTGTAGATGTCACGGTTTAAACCCCCTCAAACGTGAAACTTACACTTAAAACTTACCATCACGACCTATTCTTGGTTTTCATTAAACCGCGAAAAATGGAATTTTGTTTTATTGACGATCACTGAGAAATGGTCTATTATTTAAAAAAAAAAAAAAAACCCAAAACATTTATTATTTTCAAGGTGAAAAGGATTTATTTGCCTGGATCCACGCCGAAGAAAACGTCTAAATGTCACATTTTTAATGAAGCAGCCTAAATACATAGTCCACTTTGGGAAATGTGTAGATGTCACAGTTTAATCCCCTCAAACGTGAAACTTACACGTTTGCGTTATTACGAATATTTGTAATGCCTGTTTAACAGGCTAATTATTTGAGGAACCCTCGATCATGATGTAATTGCTAACAAAAAAGCTCAAAAACCTCTCTATGTAGGCCTACATCACATTGCTGCATGCTTCCAAAATGTTAATATGATTCTTTATTTTGCTAAATAAACCGGGTGACGGTTGTGGTTGTATTATCTGTCTGTCTGAAACCCTCCTGAGATTTTTTGCTGTAAAAGCCAATTTCCATTCGGTGACTGAAGCAGATGAGCCCACTCTGGATCCGTTCAGGACATTCGTCATGTTTTTTTCACCGGTGTTTCGGCGCAGAGACGAAATGCCTGAAAAAGAGGCTGAAAAGGAGAAGCAAAGTATTTTATAGAGCGAGGTATGGCCTCGTTAATGGCCATAGGCTATTCAGAAGCAACATTAATGAGCATGTAGTTTACAGATTGAGAGTTTCTCTCAGGAAAAATGCCGTGAAAAAGAACTGCATTTTTTATTCTCAATTGCAGCAGCACTACCTAGCGGTGAAACACTTTACAAAAAATAAATCAATAAATAAATAAAATAAACATTTAATACATTTTATTATAAAATTAGAGTCAGTCAATCGATAAATGTGGATTCATTACTTATTAGATTACTTTTAATATTTCAATGGTTAAAAAGCTGCACTTAGTAACGTTAGTGAAGCAAAGGATAATCCAAGATAGATATCAAACGGGAAAATTCACTTTCTTTGAAATCTTTGACACTTGGTTCTCTGCATATCTGAAGCTTAATAAAACAACACACCGGCAACCTGGATTTCTTCAAACTTTATTAAATAATATTTAAAAAATACAAACGATGAAACGTGAAACAACTGTAAATAAACAAGATGGACAAAGTGTTTGATTTTTTTACAATAGAAAAAGGGGGGTTAATGCGGAGTTCACGTGAAACCACAAATATGAAAACTGAATTACAAAAGTGGGTTTGGAGATGAGTAAATTGACTGTAAAAGAACTTTAAAAATTAAAAATACAATGGAAACCCCACATAGTAATCAAATAAACCAACAGAACCTTTTCCACAACTCTTCTTTAAATACCTGAGTCCCCTCATTCATTGATATATGGCTGGAAGTAAATATATGTAAATTAATTCAAAAAATTCTTCAAAACCAAAAAATGGCTTCCACACTGCATTTTGTTCCTTTGGGGGGAAAAAATAATTCCAGAAAAAAACAACATGGTGCACGTCGACAACTGATGTCAACTTTGATAAAGTCTTTAAAAATAAGCATTTTATGACTCTTCAGTTTTCAAAGATGCTAGAAGTATTATTCAGAAACTCCAATGTTTCACAATGATGCTCAATTTTCATTACTCAACACAAATATAAGGAAACATACTCAATATTTGTAGAAAGCACATAGAGTACAAGCACATCACACAACTAATTCCTTAAAAAAAATCTCAGATTAACCTAAAAAAAAGGTTAATGAACTGAAACATTGCAACTGCACACCTGAAAAGACACAGTAAAACTGAACAGTAAACTCTGTCTCGACTTTAACAAATAAAAGTGGAAGAATCACAAGCTCAAATCAAGTTTCTCACAGATAAACTGTCTATAATGGCATGTGTTTTATGTTAAACCCCTGAGACAAAAAAAGTACATCTGCAGATGCACCGTGTGCAACCAAAGATTCATGACAGGCTACAACTGCAGTCTTGTACCTGTCCTGCAGGTTTTGTGCAACGACTCACAATCAGGAAGATTGTAAAATGTAATTTGTCAATCAGCACATGCCATCAACATAGATCAACCACATTAACATGTGTTTCTGTTTACGTTTTAAAAGACAAAGGATGACCACTGGAAGTGTCAAGTACTATATACTACACAGCTAAAAACTCCATAAATGCTTCTTAGAGAAATTACTGTTATGTGTTAGTTAGTTCTGATAGACTGATAAAAAGGAAAAATATCTAAGACTGTCGTAGACTTTCAAATCTACGAGAGAGAAATCAGGAGATTAAAATCTACATCAGTGGTTCTCAACTGGTGGTTTGCAGATCTGTTTTGTGACAGCAGGGGGAAAAATTCATCTGTCAAATGAAATTCCAAAAAAGACTGTTTGCTTGATATTAATCCTCAAGGAGAAAAACTATGCAAGGTAAAAGAAAACATGAACAAGGCAACAGTAAATATGGGTTATACCCGATATTATGTACAGTCACCATATCATGTACAACGTAAATTTGGGTCCAAAATAAAAACCAGTTGAGAATCACTGATCTACATTATAGAAGCACTTGAATCCTCTATTCTTGATTTACAAAAATGCAGACGATGGTTTTCCATTTGGTCATCACCATTTAACAATTCAGTGTTTCTGGTTTGAAGCTACATATCTCAACAAAAGCAATGAATTTGTAAAAAAAAGACTGAATATAATGTATCAAAAACACAAGACAGCACAACCATTACCAAATACAACAGGTAGATATTGTTTCATCACTTTCAAAAGTGGTTTATTAAGTTGAGGCTTGTTTTAATGATTATGTTGCTGTTCACCAAAACACATAAGGCATGTCGTATTATAAAATGAAATCTTCTTCAGCATTTGACTACAGTCTATATCACTGGTTTAAGCACTGAACGTAGTGAGCGTCCCTCTTTAGTAAGTTCTCTTGTGAAACTCATGCATGGGAGTGGGATTGCTTCTTCCCTCCTTGTTATCATGTTAAACTTGCACGTCTTGAGGTGGTCGGCCATGCTGGAAATGTTAGCAAACTTCCACTCGTTCACAGTGTCAAACGCTGTACTAAACCGCCACACCTAAAACAAACAAAAAAAAAAATCAACAACTTAGATTGTAATAAAATAAAATAAAAAAGAGATAAAAGCTTTTTGGTGTTTAAAGATAATAAAAAGATGAATTTTCCTTGATTACCTTGTCTGTAATCTGCCAGGATGAGGTTCCATCTGCTCGGTTCGTCTTATCCCAGAGCAGGACCACCATGCCACGGGATTGAAGAAGACTGGCACACACGTCCCTCATAGTGCAAGACACTCTGGAGAGTTGGCACAGGCTAAAGCCGTCCAGGAAGCTGGCAATGTGCTGCAGTAACTCAAAGGGCAGGTCACTAAGGTGGTCACAGTGGGACCTAAACTGGCAGGTGTCAGTTCTGGATAGAGGCTCATTGGGACATGCTGCTAACCCAGGTAGCACTCCAAATGAGCCCAGGTGACGGTCATGGATTATTCTGAAACCTTGTACCGAAGGGCAGAACCTTCTTTGCGAGTAGGTGCATCCATAGTACGCCAACGGGCACCTTTGCTCCATCCAACCATTAAGTCCAGCATGGATGTCCCCATGGACGTTCTTAAAATGGGAAGAAAACTCATCCCTGCGAAACAACTGTCCGCATACAAAGGTGAACATTGAGCGCTGTTTGGTCTGATAGCGAGCAACACATTCCAGAACAAGGTCTAATCTGAGGGTGTGGAATGGACTGGGGTTGGAGAGTTGTGGACTGGCGTGGTCACAGGCAGATGCTGAGGCGATGTCACCTACCATGGTGCTGGTAGCCAGTATTGCAGAAGGGAAGGAGAAGGTCTGTGTGCCAAAGTCAATGCGATACCCATCTACAAAGCGGCTGTCCGAGATGCTCCTACCTCCAGGTGAGTCCCCCAAACAAAAGAGCAAGGCAGCAGTGATGAGGTCAACGCCGTGGAGACCCATTGGATCATCTGCCACCTCAAGGTCTGACGTGTCCACCGCTTTGTCCTCCATCTTGGCTTTGAAAAAATAGTGGTCAGATAACAGAGTCCTTCGACCGTTGATTGTAAACAAGTTCATTCCCCTGAGTACCTGGAGACTGTCCAACTTGCGTTCCAGCCATCGGTCCTCAATTCTGAAAGGCAAATGGTGCAGAACATTGTTGCGCATCAGGTTAGGTAGAGGGATGGGCATAGGAAGAGGTAGTTGGGGCAAGTGGGCCATTTCTGGATCTTGTGCTAAAATAGGAATGGAATGATCAGGTAAAACCTGCCTAATGTTTGAAGAGCCATTGACCCTTTCAAGTCTGACCTGGTTATCACCATCCCCTTCATTACTAAGTCCATTTAGTTCTATCCCACCATTCACGTCTCCTTCTTCTTCGGAAGATTCACCGCATCCACTGGTCTCCAACCAATCATCTCCTTCGTCTTCAGGATCTACTGGAAAAGGACAGTCAGCTCCACCTACCGCTCCCAGATCGGAATCGGAATCAGTGTCACTTTCTTTCGTTGGGTCGTTCCTCATGTCTTCGTCGCCATTCCTGACACCGTTGCAAGCTCCATTTTGTTCCACACCATTGGGATTGTTCACAATTGAGTCAATATTCTTTGCACTACGGAGAATGTCCAAAGTGGCAGCAAAGTTTGTACTGTTTTCCACTGAAGGTGTGTAAGGTTCACCATATGGTTCCACGTCCATTTTAATCAACTCATTTTCCGGGTCCAATTCCTGGGGACTGGAATTGTCCTGATTTTGCTCTTTCAGAGCTTTTGTCACAGTGGTCACCATTTTAAGTGACTCCAGCAACATTCGCTGATCCTGGAGGGCCAAAGCCATGTCCAGCTGCTCCACATCAAAAACCTCCTTACTCAAGTTCTCGTAGGACTTGCGATCTGTGTAACTTACTGGCCATCGATTCCATTCCATGGTGCAACACACAACACTGGCAGGGCATGTTTCAAGGTGCTGTGCCATTTTGGCCCTGGCAAGGGTAAACGGACATCCGAATCCAAAGTTCAAACACGGGACTCTTTCATACGGACACAGTAAGCGGTGTTCATTCAGTTTGCATGAGTGGAATACTGCCCCACACACAAGAGGGCAACCCATGAGGTCACAGGAAATGCTGGCCTCTGGTCTTATCATACATCGGCGGTTGACACATTTCAGACAATGGATATGAAGCTCCTCCATTGAAAATATGAATGAGTCTCTTGACACAGAGATACTACGGCAAACACTGTGGAAGAAAAGAAAACAGACCGTTAGACCTGATCTTATTTTGGATACCCATGTGGGGTGTCATTGGCTTAACATCTATGCATGCCATTCATGTGGAAAGTTTCACCGTCTCCTAAAAGGGATAAGTGTAAATCAGAATCAGTTGACCTCTCGCAGTCTGTTTACCAAATTACTAAACCACTGCATTGCCATTTCACAACTCTCCTAATGTTGCATAGTCACGTTCCTCGAGGACTGAGATGGTACACGACTCCTAGTTTCTGAACGGTATGTTACAGGAATCAGACATGGCTTAAACTCAAAAGAAACACTTCCATAAAGATCTTGCAATGTCATTTAAGAAGCTTCTCCCTTTCTAACATGACAGGGCTTGACTGGACATATGCAGTTAGACTCAGCCAGCATGACCTACATGGAAACTGTCTGAGTCAGTTGGGGGGGTTAGGGTACTGGTCATACTGTGGTGTAAGCTTTGAATTAACGAGCTCACTTTCCACATAGTCCTCGTAATTCCAGCTGGGCAAAGACATTGCGAGATGTTTGTGTGTTTGTGTACAATGCCGGCGTGTCAGCCTGCCTGTCTTCTTTTGAAACAGCAAAACACTTCTGAGGATGTTTTTTGAACACTTAGGTGTTTGGTATCTAGTGCTCACGTGGAATATAACATAGTTGCACAAGCAGTGGTACTTACAACAGACAGCATGGTTTCAGAATGTCAAAATTATTCAAAACATGACATGACTTGAGGATTTCAGTCTTAGTGGGGCTCAAAGCTAAACATACAGATGTAGGCTACATTTTTATGGAATAACTTAATGGTCTGTTGAAACTTGCACAACTATTAGTAAATAATAATAATAAATAATAGTAAATAATAATAATAAATAATTATTTTTGTTTATTAGTAGACATGTAAAAAAAAACTATCACAATTCAATCTGATAGTCCACAAATATTCATGCATATCAGAAAAAGGCTAATTTGGTTTCATTTTATTTTGTGCTGTAACATAAAGCAGATGGTGGTATTTCATTAATTCACTAAATAAATTCAATCCAATTGGAATTGTAATAGGTTAATTTTAAGCATTACAAAAAAAGTAATTGTCAAGTAAAGTGCACATAGACTTATAATACATTTTCAAATGACATTCTAGTAATGTGACAATTCATGATGAGCTACACACAGAAATGTTTGTCTTCCAACAAAAAGATTGACTTAAATTAATCACCTTACTGCATGAAAAGAAAATATGACATATATGCTTGTATATTTAAGTTCCGTAATTTTACTTAAATGACAATTAATAGGTAATATTCATTGCCATTTAAGTAAAATTACTGAGCTTAAATATACAAGCTTGATAAAAATGATAATTCTAGAAGAAAATTTCAAATGGCACTTAGAGGCTTTTGCATCTGAACTCTTCATATATATATATATATATATATATATATATATTATGTAACAATATAGTTACACAATAATAATAATAATAATAATAATAATACATGTTCTTATAAAATTCTGATGGGGTGCATGACACAAGATAATGATAGAGAACCTTATCACAACCAAAGTGGAGAAAGGAGACATGTTTTTTTTTTTTTATTATAATTATTTTATTAATTCCATTCTACCCTGCTTCTGCTTGAGGGGTAGGCTATGTTTTGAGCTATACTGTAAATTACATGGAAAAACAGATCATTGAATAGTTAAATCTCATCATTATTTTTATTGCAAACACTCATTTGCCAAAAGTGATAGCTGACAGCAGAGCTAATCCTCTCCTAAGCCATAAAGGGTCTAGAACCTGTGGCTCTTAATCCTCCAACCCTTAGGAAAATTAACTATGGATTTTCTACAAATAAAACAAAAATGAACATCTAGTTAAACCATGGTAACCTCAAATTAATATGACATGACTCCAGTTATCCTATACAAGACTAAATATGAGAACATGAAATGTTTCCCAAATATGACATGATACCAAACATGTTTTACAGATGCCTTGAACTCAATCAAGTCAAACTCCTGATGAAACCTGATGCAGCTTTTGTTGTTGTTGTTGTTCCCGCCTGACAACCTGAACCTGACATTACCATGATCAACTATAGATCAATAATCAACGATTAAACGCAAATGAACCATCCTCATACATATTTATGTTTATAGTATCATGACAGGTCAATGTTTTAATTTGTTAAACTGACAAACACAAAGCCTTTAGCATTAGCTGGCTAGCCGCGAACTGCAGGATAATAAATAATAAACGACAAACATAACGTTACGTAATTATTAAACGTCGTAGACAAACAAACATATATCATGTTAACCCGAGGGAAATATACGTTTAAAGTTAGCTATTTTAACAACGACCGGAACCGGTGAGGAAACTAGTCAAAGTAAACAAAGAAAGACATGAAAGTGTCTTACCGTCAATCTGTGACGAGTCTTCAGTAGTTTGACAGTGGGCAGTGACGTGTTTAATTAATTATTATAAATATTTCATCGAGTATAATGACAGAGACGATGTTTTCACTGCAGTCTGTATTTTTTTTTCTGTTGAAATCTGTGTATCACTGTACTGATATACTAAAGTGAAGTGAGGCCCTAGATGGGCGGAGACTAAACAGACACACTAACAAAAAGTGCTATGATAATACCACGCTGGGGTGACCGTGGAACGTGATTTCACCAAGTGCAACATGTTCCTGGATCAACATCTCTGTTGATCCTGGAACAACATTCCAATCAACCAATTAGATTCGAGGGACAAGTTTACAGTTTATGTCAAGTTTAGGCTTACAATCAGAGTTATGCTTCTACATCAGTGTTTTTCACCTATAATTTCCATCTGATTTTTGGAATAAGTTATTATGGGTAGGGATAGGGTTAGGACTAGGAGGAATACATTTTTGGACAGGAATGTTGTTCCAGGATCAACAAAATATGTTGACCAGTCCCAGGAACATGCACTTGGCGAAATCAAGATGACCATATGCTGGTGTGCGTTCGTTTTCCAAGCATTGTTGGCCAACTATCGCAATTTCCATTGAAGTCTATTGGTAACGACGGAACTTCAACCATAGTTGGCTTAGGGAAATGCACTCCTGTTAAAATACTACCATAGTTTTTAGTATATTGGAGTAGGCTACCATGTAAATGGCATCATCAGATCAAAGCACCCAACCACAGTCCCATATTATACCATTAACTGTACCAATGTCCTATGTTGCTTTTGTTGTTTTATTCAGTCCCTTCATGTCTGAAGCTGTTATCATAAACACAATGTTTTTCATACTTATTTGAAATAATTATTTATGTGTACTTTACCCTAGCTCCCACAGACACCTGTTGATATCAGTAGATTTAAGACAAAATGTGATTTGGCTGATTACATTTTTTAAAATCAACACCTTGCCTACTGTATGTAATGAACTGAGTGTTATCATTGTTAAATGTTGGGGAGACATTTTAAAACCTGTCCTGGTAATTCATACATGCAAATATGGCCATGCCAGTTTTTAAATGTGTTTAGGATATTTTCTTTGTAACATACAATTGTTTGCTTTGTTAAAAGCATTAGATTAATCTAACTAATTCATTACCAATATTAATGCAAAGTCATGCATGTTTAAACCTAAACAAATGTCAGCTTAAACTTTTGGTTTCTATAGTCAACTATAGTCTTGAACTATAGTCTATAGAACTATAGAAGTTAGAACTATACTATAGAACTATATTTTGTTGACTATAGAACTATAGTCAACAAAATACTTCATGTTGTAGTCACCCTCAAAAATGTATTTCACTTAAGTCAAACTTAAAATTAAACAAATGTCATTGGATTAGATAACTGAATTTGTGCCCGAAATAGCATCCTTTCCTATAATATATTGATTAAAAAAAACAGTATGTGACAAAAGAAGCATGTCCGAATTCAAAGTACTCTTAAAAGAGTTGGCAAAAAGTACCCGGATGACCTATTACTTCCGCTGAGATTCTGAAGTGTGCAAACGATGGACACTTTACCATCCCATGAGGCCATAGGACAGGATTTGTGAATGACACAGGTCACATGATAAAGACAACATGGCCAATGTAGTACATCCAGATTATATTCATACTACACACTCATACTATATAGAACATACTTTTTTAGCTGTCTTATTTATTTAAAAAATAAGTACCAACTCAAGAGAGTATGTTATATCGGACGCAGCCTAAAATCTAGAGAATTTCTTTTTACAAAATTTTCTTCATCATTTTTTCAAAACCATAAAGTGCCTCAAATACAGTACATCATTTGTAGTAAGTAAGCTGTTAGAGATCTTATTTATTTGTTCATTTATTTCACAATAAAAGACAAAAAGAACAACTACGATAAAATGCACTACAGGTTAGCAGACGACACTTTTCATACAGTACTGTGCGTATATGAGATCCTAGGTTAGCTGGCCACCTCTGAGATATGGTGGATGTTGGAGAGGGTGAGTTGGGCCTCTCGGGCCGGATACGAGTTTCTGCTCTGCAGCCAGAGTTTCCCAAAAACTCCTGTGATGACAATCAGGACGAACAGCAGACCAGCCAAAACAAAGGTTTCGACAGAGGGCATATCTGAACCTGGAAGAGGATATGTTCAAATAGGCATTAAAAATAGGGGTAACACTTTATTTTACGATCCGCAAACAACTGCAAAAGTAAACCGAAATTACGGTGTACTTTCTTTAATTATAGTGTACTTCCATGTTTATGTGAAATTTTACAGGGTAATTTTGACACCTATATATATATATATATATATATATATATATATACACACGTTAATAAGCCAATAAATTAAATTTTTATCATACTGTGCTTACATACAGCCATATATATATATATATATATATATATATATATAAATAAAATATACTTACCCTGTAATTAAACAGAACAAGGGGATAACAAGCGCCACTTTAATTTACACAGTACTATTTGCACAGTAATAGAGAAAGGAAAAAAAAAAAAAAAAAATATATATATATATATATATATATATATTTGCCCTGACATTTAAGTGTCATTGCAATACAATGTGATAAGTACTAAGTACAACATGGTGTGGTCTAAATTAAATCATAGCAGAAACATTTTTTTTTTTTACTTAACATTACGTAACCTAGTAAGAAAAGCCAATAAATTCTTTTTTTTTTTTATCATACTGTGCTTACATACAGCCATATATATATATGAAGAGTTCAGATGCAAAAGCCTCTAAATGCCATTTGAAATTTTCTTCTTTAATGATGATTTTTATCAAACTTGTATATTTAAGTTCAGTAATTTCACTTAAATGGCAATGATAATTACCTATTAATTGTTATTTAAGTGAAATTAATGAAATAAAATATACAAGTTTGATAAAAATATATAATATATATATATATATATATATATATATATATATATATATATATACTCGTTTCATTTTCAACCCACAGATGTCAAAATTACCCTGTAAAATTGCACAAGAACATATTTTGCCAGAAATGTGATAACTTTTAAATACACCAGATGTGCAATTTTTGCCTGGAATATATTAACAGAATAGGTACCTGTTAGTTTAAAAATTATTACATTTTAAATAGTTTGCTTGTATATCTGCTTGTTACCCCTTTATTACCCAAAACTTAACATATTGTTCCCTGTACAGAAGTACACTATAATTACAGAAACATACACCGTAATTTCGGTTTACTTACGCTGTTGTTTGCAGGTCGTAAAATGAAGTGTTACCAGTACATCAATAAGTATGGTGGTTTATAGACTTACTCAGACTAGTATTGTCCAGGTTAGCTTTGAGCCTTCTGATTGGTCCGTACGAGACAGTGTGAGACGACGCAACATCCCTGCGTGTCCGTAGTGATACATCTTCAGCAGAGCAGTTCTGTAATCCAAGGGTTTAAAGTCACTAAAGTCACACAATATTTCTCAACCAATACATTTTTAACAAAACAAAAAAACTATTATTATTTTTCACCCATGTGCATGTTTAGGTTGGCGGTTCAAATTGACAAGGCCCAAAAAGAATATAAAGTGCAGGATTTTACACAAATCATATGGACTACATTTATACTTTATAGTACTTTCATGGTGGTTTTGTGCATTTTATAATCATAATGCCATAGAATAATTAATCAAAAGGGACAGTAAATATCTTTACTTTACTATTTAAAAAAATATTGCAATATAAAATGGTGATTTTAAATTGTAACATAATATTTCAAAATATTACTGTTTTTACTGAACTTTTAATCAGATGAGTGCTGCCTTGGTGAGCAGAAAAGACTTGTTTCAAAATCAGACTGAATGGTAAATAGGTGTCAATAAGGCTGACTCACAGGCTGGCACACTCCGGTGTTATGACAGATCTGGACATTGCAGTGCAGGAAAACATCTGTGTAGGAGCTGCCAACAAACTTGAACATTTGTATCCTGAACAGAGCTTCCGGTCCTTGACCGTTCCTCATCACGGCTAATGTCTGGTCATTCCATAACACTGGACAGCTGATGTGGAGAGAAAAGTTGGCAGTATGATATTTGTACTGATAAATGATATTTAAATTGGACCTGTTTCTCTATTGTTCCTAGAAATGACATGCTTCATAGCTTTTCCCTGGTGGAGAATCTCTCTGGGTAGTCAAGGATAAGCACAGCTGTTAAACTGAAATGCACACGGCCACAGACTGTCACATGACTGAAGCAACATACTTTGTTTAGTCACCCACTCCTTTAGCAACGGTTTCAACGCCGTGCTGTGTGTCTCAACAACACCCTTTCACACCACTGGTTATATGACTGAATGAAGCACTCACTTACAACACGAGCAAAGGAGTAATGAAGCTGTGAAGGAGGGCATTTTACACAACAGACAATAGACAGATAGTTAATCACAATTTGATTTTAAATCAATTAAATGCCTGGTTAAAAAAAGCTCATGTCAAACATATTAAAAATGAATGGCTGCATTATAACATTTTGATTGAATTGATTGTGTCACAGACCTGTCCCTGATAAAGGTGTATTGAATGTTGCTGTAAGGGTCTTTGGTTGGTGTGGCCCAACATCTCTCCACTCTCAGAAACAGATTTGCTGGAACCTGCAAGAAAAAAGTCCAGATAGCTTCATTAGCACATTTAACTCCATGGGCTCTATGCACGGCGTTATTTCCGGTGAAGGATTAAGGATGCTCGATAACTTCCGCCGATCATAGAGTCCAATGCAATACCGAGAATTTATATTGAATTTTATACTCCATGGTTATAATAAAGAAACATTAGTCACAGAAACAGATAAAACAGACACCCCTCGTTGTGTTTATGCTTCTTTTTAAAATTATATTAAATAAACATAACTATATATAAAATTACATCTAAACGTATGTACGTTTCGTTTCAAAGACGGGAGGACAGTAAATATTGAAGACTCTGCCATAATCCCGTTTTCTCCGGTTTTCCTCCGCTTTAATCTCCACAACCGGAAATGGACGAGCATCCTTACGTCAAATGCGGAACTTATGCGTGCATATAGCCCATAGTCTGCTTGTCACCAGATATACAGAATATGTGCCGGCGTCTTCCAAGAACAAAGACGGTACATTACTGGTACATTCCGTACACCGCTCATAGGATCATAGC